AGACCCAAAGGATGAGAACATACCTGTACAGATCTGAGAGATGATTATTCCAGGCAAAGAGAACTTGAGCAAGTACAGTGACCCTAATAATGAAATCAACTTGGCATGCTCCAGCAACTGCAAAAAGCCAGTAGGAAATAAGGGCCAAAAGGGAGGCAGTGTTCAGATCTTGTAGGATATTAGAGTATTCCAGGTGAGAAAGAATAGTAGGAGGTTAGTGAGATGTGTGTGACTGGATTACAAATAGTTTGGCTAGTGGGGAGATGATAAATATATTATTCAAGGTACAGCAGACAGGACTTACTGATGGATTACATATGGGAATGTAACATAGGGGAAAGAAAGATTGACATCTAGGTTTGGGGTTTAGGTTCTGATGCATTGTGTCTAGCACAGTGGTTAGCTTATAGTAGGAGCTCAAAATATGTTTATACTTTAATGAAGACCAGTACCCAACCTCTAGGAGCTCACATAGAAAAGTTAGCCAATCCAGCCGGAGAAGGCTTGTTGACACTCGAGAACATTCATGGAGTAAGTAGACAGGCGTTGCAGCCCCATGGATGGATCTGAGTTTTCCTCTGATGAGTAGTCATCTTAGCTTTTCCTCCAAAGGACTGGTCCTCTCACAGTATTAACTTCTCAGTCCAGGGCAAGGGCCTGGAAAGTAGCCTGTGCTCTAGCCATCCTGATTGTAGCCATCTGCGAATGAAATGGAGAGGAATAAAGAAGGCTTTGCTCATCCTTGGCCTCCCTGGGCCTTTATAGTGCTGTGATCTTTCCCTGGACTTTCTGACAATAGTGAGTTAGAGGATCAGATGGTACTGTATAGATGAAGAATCTGTCTTGGTTGTACCTGTTTCTAGTTTATTTTTGTTTTTTTCTGAGAAAGGGTCTCATTCTGTCGCCTAGGCTGGAGTGCAGTGGCATGATCTCAGCTCACTTCAGCTTCCACCTCCCGGGTTCAAGCAATTCTCATGCCTCAGCCTCCTGAGTAGCTGGGGTTACAGGCATGTGCCATCACACCTGGCTGCCTTTTCTATTTTTAGTAGAGACGGGGTTTTACCATGTTGCTCAGGCTGACCTCAAACTCCTGACCTCAAGCAGTCCACCCACCTCGGCCTCCTAAAGTGCTGGGATTATAGGTATGAGCCACTGTGCCTGGCCTAGTTTTGTTTTTCAAAAACTACCTTAAACTATTTTTAAGTTTATATATATATATGGTGCTGGTCTGCTGGTCCTAAATCCTCTTAGTGTTTATCTGAGAAAGTTTTTATTTCTTTTTCATCTTTTATTTATTTTATTTTATTTAAGACAGAATCTCTCTCTGTCATCCAGGCTGAAGTGCTGTGGCATGATCGCAGCTCATTGCAGCCTCAGCCTTCCAGGCTCAAGCAATCCTCCTACCTCAGCCTTCCAAGTAGCTGCGGCCACAGGTACACACCACTATGCCTGGCCTCTTATCTTTTAAAGGATTTTTTCTAGGTAAAGAATTCTATGTTAAAGGTTATATTTCTGGGGTCAGATGTGGTGGCTCACACCTGTAATCCTAGCAGTTTGGGAAGCCAGGGTGGGAGGATCACTTGATGCCAAGAGTTCGAGACCAGCCTGGGGAGCTTAGTATCAAGATCCTGTCTCTAAAAAAATTTTAAAATTAGCTGTAATCTTCACTACTCAGGAGGCTGAGGTGGGAGAATCACTTGAGCCCAAGAGTTGGAGGCCAGAGTGAGCCATAATTGCATGCCACTGCACTTCAGCCTGGGGAGCAGGGCAAGGCTCTATTTCTAAAAAAGATACGTATTTCTGGGATGTAAAGATACCACTCTATCATGTTCTGGCCTCTATGATTTTCAATAAGAAGTCTGCTATAATTATTATTTTTGTTTCTATATAAGTAATATATGTTTTTTCTTTGTCTTCAGGATTTTCTCTTTATCTTTCGTTTTCAGCAGCTTGAATGTCATAGGTATAGGTGAGGATTTTGTTTTTATATTTATCCTTCTTGGAATTCTCTGAGATTCTTGGAGATAGATATAAATGTAGAATGTGTGTGTGTGTGTGTGTGTGTGTGTGTGTACACATATACGTATTTTGTTTGCTTGTTTGTTTTGTTTTCTTTTGAGACAGAGTTTTACTCTTGTTGCACAGACTGGAGTGCAATGGCACCATCTTGGCTCACTGCAACCTCCACCTCGTGGGTTCAAATGATTCTCCTGCCTCAGCTTCCCAAGTAGCTGGGATTACAGGCATGTGCCACTATGCCCAGCTAATTTTATATTTTTAGTAGAGATAGGGTTTCACCATGTTGGTCAGGCTGGTCTCAAACTCCTGATGTCAGGTGACTTGGATCTATATTTTAATGTCTCATTAATTTAGGAAATTTCTTGGCCATTATATCTTGAAATATTTCTTCTGCCCATTCTCTCTCTTCTTTTGGGATTTTAATTATGCATATGTTTGATACTTTGATGTGTCCCACAGCTCTTGGATATTATGGTACATTGTTGATATTGGGTTTTTAAATTTTGTTTTGTTATTTAAATTGTTTTTGCCTTTTAATTTAGGTAATTTCTGTTGACCTGTCTTTGAGTTAATTGATTCTTTGGTTTTGAGGTCTACTAATGATCCTATCAAAGGCATTCTTCATCTGGTACTGTGTTTTTCACTTTTAGCATTACTTATTTGATTTTTTCTTACAGCTTCCATTTCTTTGTTGTATTTTCTAGTATTAATTTTTATCTATATTCTTCCCAGATAGCAGCCATACAGGGCAAGATTCGGATTACATTAGTTTTTTCTTATGTCTCTTTTGCATATCTTAGGTTTGGAAAAACCTTTTGACCCAGAAATCACCAAGAGCTCTCCAAAATAGGATATTGGTGCACTCAAGCTATCTCAAGAAAGCAGAAAATGAGAGTCACAGACTGGTTGTGTTGTGTAGCAAAGAGCTGCTGGGTGTATCCATCAACCTGATTGATTTTCTCGGGGTCAAGGGTCATCTAAGTATTCTTTCTTTCCTTATCTACTTCAGAAGACCATCAAAATATTTACTCTTGTTAAACCTAAGCAACATGAATATGGGTTACTTTTACATATCTTGTGTTTTTGAATAAGTCCTGGATTTTGGCACTTTTGTAACATTAGGTTTATAGAACCTCACAAAGGCTCATTTTTCTGTCAGTTCCAAAACGGGAAACTTCCTGAATATATATCCTGGGAAATATATTGTCTCGGCTGGGTGTAGTGGCTCACGCCTGTAATCTCAGCCCTTTGGGAGGCCAAAATGGGTGGATCACCTGAGGTTAGGAGTTCAATACCAGCCTGACCAATATGATGAAACCCTGTCTCTATTAATAATACATAAATTAGCTAGATGTGGCGGCATGCCCCTGTAATCCCAGCTACTCAGGAGGCTGACACGGGAGAATTGCTTAAACTCAGGAGGCGGAGGTTGCAGTGAACCAAAATCATGCCACTGCACTCCAGCCTGGGCAACAGAGCAAAACTCTGTCTCAAAAAAAAAAAAAAAAAAAAAAAATCGTCTCTATCTGGCCATAGTCACAAATGTTTGTTCATTTGTTGATTCATTGATTCAAATGTTTTGTAAGCCTGCTATCTCAGCGTTACTACATTACATTCAGATTACACTGATGAACAAGATGTCTTTCCTCCAGGAGCTAGAGATTCCTACTTCGCTAGTACAAGAGTGTGGTTAGTACTATAACGGAGGTGCTACATGCTGTGGGACCCAGAGGGTGTAGTATTTCGTTTGGGCTAGGGGAGATTGGTTAGTGCTTTCTGGAAAAAGTAGCATTATATCTGGGTTTTAAAAAAAGTATTAGGATCTTGACAGGCTGAGGTGGATGGCCATTCCAAGCTAAGTAAACAGCTAATGTAAAGGCACTAATTCATGAAGGATTTGGTAAACGATTTATACTTTACTCCTTTGAGACCCTGGTTCATTTTCTTCTTTTACTCCTGTTGTTAGACTTATTTTTCGTTGTTGTCCTTTCTCACTTTTGGTTATTTTTACTTCCTTTGTTTTCTTATAGTTCCTAGTGGTAGGTCTTATGGTATTAGTTTTATAGTGTAGGACCCAGAGATGGAGGATCACCTGTATTGCCTCCAATACAGGAAGTGCAGGGCAACATTATTTCTCTATTCCACCTGTGTTGCAGGGTGTGTACTTAGAATAGTAAGGTGAATTTTACATGAATGTGGGCCCTGCCCACAGAGCAGATGACTCCATACTAGAACATAGTGGAATAGATGAAAACCTTCTATAGCATGTATGCCACACTTGGCCCATCAGCCCTCTCCATGCCCTTTACATTCAGCATCCTCATGTCAACTTCTCTCTCCTCTTCCCTACAAAGCAAGGGAGTACTGTTCAAAGACCCAAATGCATTCTGCCCTAGTTTATTTTTATTGCAAAAAACATTTATCTTTACCCTGCAACTTACTTTTTCTTCTATTTATTTTCAACATTTAGCAGGTTGTTTAAAAAGGGACCCAAAATAAAAAAAAAAAAAAAAGGACCATCTTCCTCGTTCTAGGGACTGGTAGGTAGGGGTTAAGGTGATGGTAGGGGTTAAGACCAGATCCTATTTTGCAATCTGCCTGGGAGGTGAAAAACCTGGGAAGAAGACCACTGGTAGCATATGTATGGAAAGGAAACAGGCTGCCCTTATACCTTTTCTGGAGGAAAAACTGCACGGGGAGCCAGGCATATATGGAGAAGAATGCTTAATGGTTTACACTCTTGAGAAGTCCTGTACCTAACCAGTTATTTGCTTTGACTTGGCTGCTTATGGTCTGGTTCTGGTCTTTTCTTTTGTCCCCTAACCAAGACAAATGAGTCTCAATTAAGGAAAAGGGACATAAGATACCTATTCCAAAAGTGAATTCCTCTTAACTCTCATGAAATGGCAAGTAGAATTGTTTGCATATGTGAGCTCTGAGAATTACTTTATCGATGAACACTGGTATTTTCTCTGGTATAGGAAGCTGAACCATCTATCTCCAGAAATGTCTTCAGAAGGTAAAGAGCAACATGACCTTTCACCCAGAGACTCGGCTGAAGGAAATGATCTCAGTTCTCCATCTGGGATCCATCTGGAGCTTCAAAGGGAATCAAGTACTGACTTCAAGCAATTTGAGACCAATGATCAATGCAGACCTTATCCTAGGATACTTATTGAGCGTCAAGAGAAATCAAATACAAACTTCAAGCAGTTTGTTATTAAAAAGCTGCAGAAGAATTGCCAGTGCAATCCAACCAAAGCCAAAAATATGATTTTAGGTTTCCTTCCTGTTTTGCAGTGGCTCCCAAAATATGACCTGAAGAAAAACATTTTAGGGGATGTGATGTCAGGCTTGATTGTGGGCATTTTATTGGTGCCGCAGTCCATTGCTTATTCCCTACTGGCTGGCCAAGAACCTGTCTATGGTCTGTACACATCTTTTTTTGCCAGCATCATTTATTTCCTTTTGGGTACCTCCCGTCATATCTCTGTGGGCATTTTTGGAATACTGTGCCTTATGATCGGTGAGACAGTTGACCGAGAACTACAGAAAGCAGGCTATGACAATGCTCATAGTGCTCCTTCCTTAGGAATGGTTTCAAATGGGAGCACATTATTAAATCAGACATCAGACAGGATATGTGACAAAAGTTGCTATGCCATTATGGTTGGCACCACTGTAACCTTTATGGCTGGAGTTTATCAGGTAAGAAGCAATGAAACAATTGGTTATTTCTAGAAAAGTAATCTATTACATGAAATCTCATCTCTGTATGGGATCTTAGGAATCACAATAATTAAAGGTATCATTTATTGAGAGCTCAGGGTATATAAAGGGTAGAGGCAAAATTCAAACCCTAACCGGACCACAGGTAATGTAAGGCTGGTTCTCTGGACCTCACACCACCTAGTACAACTCTTTAATTTTACATGTCAGAAAATCTTGGCTTTGCTTGAGATTATTTGTGGTTGGTTATTGGCAGAGTCAGCATTAGCAGTTAGGCAAGTGGGTAACAGAATGGGGGTTGAGAGTGCAGAAGTTTTTCTTTTTTTTTTTTTTTTTTCCCGAGACAGGGTCTCACTCTATCACCCAGGCTGGAGTGCAGTGGCACTATCTTAGTTCATTGCAACTTCCACCTCCCTGGCTTAAGCAACCCTCCTACCTCAACTTCCTGAGTGGTTAGGCCTGCAGGCACATGCTACCACACCTGGCTAATTTTTGTATTTTTTGTAGAGATAGGGTTTTGCCATGTTGCGCAGGCTGGTTTTGAACTCCTGAGCTCAAGCAACCCTCCAGTCTTGGTCTTCCTAAGTGCTGGAATTACAGGCATGAGCCACCACACCCATCCTCAAATTCTAAATGTCCCTCACTTTCCATTAGAATTGCTAATCTATTAAGTGACTCTTACTAAAGGTAGTAGTTCTCTTGGATTGTTGGGGAGGGAGGGAAAAAGTTGGGGACCACAGTTTCATATTATCAGCCAGGAGAAAGGATTAGAAATCAAATTCTTCTTGACTCTCCTATAGAATCCACTAATCTGTCATTATTATCATGCCCCTGGCTTTTGGCATCCAGGAGTCAGTGCCAGGATTAAACCTCTTCTCTAATACAGGCATTTCAAACCAACGAGGGAAAGGGAAGAGTAGCTCACTTTATTTGGTGCTCAGATGAGTGAGGAGGGAGAGTGAGGATGGTATGAAGATGAGCTGTGCTTCTCAGAGTCTACTTACTTACTTATTTATTCATTTATTTATAAAGAGACAGGGTCTCTCTATGACCAACCTAGGTTGGTCTCAAACTCCTGGACTCAAGTGATCCTCCCAACACAGCATCCCAAAATGCTGGGATTACAGGCATGAGCCATCGCACCCAGCCAACTTTTGCTTTTTTGTTAGTATGCCTCACCAAGAAGGAGGAAGGCATAATAGAATTCTGAAAACTTATTAGAAAGAGGAAAAAATAAGTAAAATACAGAATTATTGTTAATATGGGAGACAGTATGGCATCAGTACATATATACTGATGAGAATGGTTTCTTAGTATGAGATTAAAGATAATTGTACAATAATTTTTAAAGTGTGATTCTATTTTGATGTGAATCTAATTTTTTGTTTTACCAATTAAAACTTCACTTGTACACTTGCTCTTAGCCAAAAGGCTGAGAAGCAGTAAGACTTCACTTTTATGGTAATGATTTGTATTTAAGGAAAATATATGGTTTCTTAACTAGAAGAATTTTTCCAACTTGAAGTTTTCTTCTGGATCCTTGAGAATTTTTTTCTTTTAAAAGAGGTTTGTTCTGGCTGGGCGCAGTGGCTCACGCCTGTAATCCCAGCACTTTGGGAGGCCGAGGTGCGTGGATTACGAGCCAAGAGATGGCGACCATCCTGGCCATCATGGTGAAACCCCATCTCTACTAAAAATACAAAAAAATTAGCTGGGTGTGGTGGCGTGCACTTGTAGTCTAGCTACTCGGGAGGCTGAGGCATGAAAATTGCTTGAACCCAGGAGGTGGAGGTTGCAATGAGCCAAGATCGTGCCACTGCACTCCAGCCTGGCGACAGAGTGAGACTCTGTCTCAAAAAAAAAAAAAAAAAAAAAAAAAAAAAGAGAGATTTGTTCTTTGTGATGGGAAGAATGGAAAAAAAAAAAAGAGGTGTGAACCTTATTCAAGCTTAAGAAATATTGTATGAAAATATAGAAATCTGATGTTCCTGTCTCACCTGAGCTAATAATTAACACTGTGACCTTGGGCAAGTTGCTTAGCCCTTTAAATATAATTTTCCCTTTGTAAAATGAGAAGATTGATGTATGATTGTGTTTATTCTGGCCCTGACATTCTGTGATGCTCTGATGATACGTTTCCATGCAAGAAATGTCAGGATAGTACAAAATGTAGACATTCTTTTCCATTTGTATTTAACCGTTCTGTATCCTTCCTTCCAGGTAGCGATGGGCTTCTTTCAAGTGGGTTTTGTTTCTGTCTACCTCTCAGATGCCTTGCTGAGTGGATTTGTCACTGGTGCCTCCTTCACTATTCTTACATCTCAGGCCAAGTATCTCCTTGGGCTCAACCTTCCTCGGAGTAATGGTGTGGGCTCACTCATCACTACCTGGATACATATCTTCAGAAACATCCGTGAGACCAATCCCTGTGATCTTATCACCAGCCTTTTGTGCCTTTTGGTTCTTCTGCCAACCAAAGAACTCAATGAACACTTCAAGTCCAAACTTAAAGCACCGATTCCTGTTGAACTTGTTGTTGTTGTGGCAGCCACGTTGGCCTCTCATTTTGGAAAACTACATGAGACTTATAATTCTAGTGTTGCTGGACATATTCCCACTGGGTTTATGCCACCCAGAGTACCAGAGTGGAACCTAATTCCTAGTGTGGCTGTAGATGCAATTGCTATTTCCATCATTGGTTTTGCTATCACTGTATCACTTTCTGAGATGTTTGCCAAGAAACATGGCTACACAGTCAGAGCGAACCAAGAAATGTATGCCATTGGCTTTTGTAATATCATCCCTTCCTTCTTCCACTGTTTTACTACTAGTGCAGCTCTTGCCAAGACATTGGTTAAAGAATCTACAGGCTGCCAAACTCAGCTTTCTGGTGTGGTAACAGCCCTGGTTCTTTTGTTGGTCCTCTTAGTAATAGCTCCTTTATTCTATTCCCTTCAAAAAAGTGTCCTTGGTGTGATCACAATTGTAAATCTACGGGGAGCCCTTCGTAAATTTAGGGATCTTCCCAAGATGTGGAGTATTAGTAGAATGGATACAGTTATCTGGTTTGTTACTATGCTCTCCTCTGCACTGCTGAGTACTGAAATAGGACTGCTTGTTGGGGTTTGTTTTTCTATGTTTTGTGTCATCCTCCGCACTCAGAAGCCAAAGATTTCATTGCTTGGCTTGGTGGAAGGGTCTGAAGTCTTCGAATCCTTGTCTGCTTACAAGAACCTTCAAACTAAGCCAGGCATCAAGATTTTCCGCTTTGTAGCCCCTCTCTACTACATAAACAAAGAATGCTTTAAATCTGCTTTATACAAACAGACTGTCAACCCAGTCTTAATAAAGGCAGCTTGGAAGAAGGCAGCAAAGAGAAAGGTCAAAGAGGAAGTTGTGACTCTCGGTGGAATCCAGGATGAAGTGTCAGTGCAACTTTCCCATGATTCCTTGGAGCTGAATACTATAGTGATTGACTGCAGTGCAATTCAATTTTTAGATACAGCAGGGATCCACACACTGAAAGAAGTTCGCAGAGATTATGAAGCCATTGGAATCCAGGTTCTGCTGGCTCAATGTAATCCCTCTGTGAGGGATTCCCTAACCAAAGGAGAATATTGCCAAAAGGAAGAAGAAAACCTTCTCTTCTATAGTGTGTATGAAGCCATGGCTTTTGCAGAAGCATCTAAAAATCAGAAAGGAATATGTGTTCCCAACGGTCTGAGTCTTAGTAGTGATTAATTGGGAAAGTAGAAGAATGCCTAGCCAATAGGTTAAAATTTCAAGTGTCCAACATTTCCCATTTCCACAGTGGAAAGTTTTGCCCACTTGAAATTTTAACCAAGAAGCTAGATATTATTCCTCCTTTGAAGCTAATGGCGTTTGTTATACACACTGCAGCAGAGCTTATAGCTGGACAGAGTCAAAAAGAAGAAAATACTGTTTCAAGCCTTCTTGCAGATGTGAAGGACTCCTGGAATGCAGTAGGTATGTATTGAATTGAACTGTAAAGTAGCTCCAAAACTTAATTAGTATACTGTTTTAGAGCTCATGAAGCGGCGAGGTTGAGATTTGCTTTGGAAGTGCCATAGACTTCTTTATGTGGCTTAGTGGAGAGGGAGAGAAAGAAGGCAGGGAAAGAATGTTGTGTCATCCTCCTCACTCAGAAGCCAAAGATTTCATTGCTTGGCTTGGTGGAAGGGTCTGAAGTCTTTGAATCCTCGTCTGCTTACAAGAACCTTCAAACTAAGCCAGGCATCAAGAGCCAGTACCAATAGATCAAGAGGCTTCGGGGTCACAAGGTCATACTAGCTAGGTTTGTTCTTATAGTTCTCTATCCCCAGTCTTTGCTCCCCAGATGGCAGTAGTTTTCAGTAGGAAAGTGCCATTCCTCTCCGTAAGGCACAGTCTCATCAGGGGTTTAACACCTGGGCAGATTAGTAGCATCCTGAGACCCAGCCTGATATTAGACAGAATACCCTTTATAATACATTTGACATTTTTAGTCATGCCTTTTTGTTTAGGGTAAATAGGTAAGCACAAAGAACTCTTCAAAATCAGAAAAAAAACAATAGGAGTCCTTCCTGGTCTTTTCTGTGATCTCTCCTTGTTTCTGAGACTTTCTCTACCATTAAGCTCTATTTTAGCTTTCAGTTATTCTAGTTTGTTTCCCATGGAATATGTCCTAAACTGGTATTTTTGTCAGTGACAATCTTGCCAGTCAGCAATTTCTAACAGCATTTTAAATGAGTTTGATGTACAATAAATATTGATGACAATGATGGTTTTTAACTCTTGGAGTCACCTAAAACTATTATGCAGGAGGATATAGAAGGATCACATTCACAAAACCCAAGTGCTATGGATATGTTATTCATGATAGCTGGTCACAGGTTATAAATTGAGGAATAATTTCCTTTCAAAAAGCAAGAATGTCCAACATTGAAAGTTTATAGTTTTATATTTGGACCTTGACAGGTAAGAAAAAAACCAGGTTCTCCACAGTTAGGAATAGGAAACAAATTTATGAAACAGCCATTTAAAAAAAAAAAAAAAAAAAGCAAACTGTTGAAGTACAAAATTGTTTTTCAATGTGTTCCTGCATTCTAAACAATTTTAAGTATTTATGAGAAGCAAACCCTATGTGTGGGGCATCTGTTGGAGTGGGATGCTTTTAGACATTAAATATGTACATGTTTAATATGTATATAGCCTTTTTGTTAGCTCCATAAGCTGCCAGTGTTGCTTTTCTGTTGGTAGAGCTCTCCCATTTGTTGACATGGAAAATACCTTTCCATTAGCACAACAAAATAGTTTCTCAGTAGAAAGTCTGGATTTCTGTTTTGTAGGTGATTCACATTATGATTAAATGTAGCTTTCCTGAATTTTGACATCCTTTTAGAACTTGAGTCTGGAATTCCAGAAATGTCAATTGCTGCATGTATTTGTGCTTGTTTGTTTTTAGCCAGCATTTGCCCTTTCTATCCAGCCTTTTGAATAACAGTAGTAAAATCACAGTATCTTGGTCAGTCTTTATTTTTTTCCTGTTTGCTTTTTTAAGAGAGTGTCATTCAGGCCAGAGTGCAGTGTGATCGTAGCTTACTGAAGCTTCCAACTCCTGGGTTCAAGTGATCTTCTCACTTTGGCCTCCTGAGTAGCTAGACCATAGGCATGCATCACCACATCCTGCTACTTTTTAAATTTTTTTTCTAGAGATGAAATTGTTTTTCTAGGGTCTCACTGTGTTGCTCAGGCTGGTCTCCAACTCCAGGCTCAAGCAATCCTTCAGCCTCAGCCTTCCGGAGTGTTGGGATTACAGGCGTGAGCCACTGCACTTGGTCATTTGTTTTTAATCTCTCTTGCCCTTCTCCCAAGGCAGGCTTAAATTGATATAGGTGTCTAATACTCTGTAACAGAGTAGTGAGTACATGCTTAAGACGTTATAATTAACCAACACCAACACAGCAAAAAATATCATTTCAGCCAAAGACTAGAAAATCCCTTAGAAGGATGGATAACAGGATTTGACCTTTACCTTTGATTTCTGTCCATATGTGGATATAAACAGTTCTGGGACATTATGCATAAAGTTAGCAAATTCTTGAATTATGTCTGGTTTGTACTTGTCCCACCCACCCAAACAAAACAAGAGCTTCTGCTTTTGGTAGCCATTTGTAAAAACATGTAAGATTTCACTAGAATTTACATTTCATCCTCTCTACTTGGGTTGAGATGTTTTGATTGCTGATATTCAGAGGAATCAAACCTGGAACCAAAGCCTAACTTGCCAATAAAAAAAGTTTTCATTTGCTCTCTTGACCAAAGGCTTGAATTTCAGTTCATTAGGCATTATATTTTAAACACTATATTGATACAAAAGTATCTTGCTTACTCTAAACTGTAGAGTCTAAATGAAGCATTTTCTCAGTACTTACTGACATATACAAAATTCTGAATATCATACAGTAGTTATCATTTAATTGAAATGTAGTGTGGTGTACTCTTGATGGTTAGAACTCTTACAAATTATTTATTTTTAAATTTGTTACAGCCAGAGGGTTGGAGTGTGCTGGTGCACAGGTGGACTGAGGAAAACATTGTAGAGGAGTGAAGAGACTAGACCATTGAAAAGGCTATTATCTGTCCAGTGGAGGCAGAAGAGAGGGACCCACTTGAATAGGATCCAGTCCCTGGTTAGCCCCCACACAATAATAGGGAGACCAGGATTAGGAGCCATACCTCTGAGAACAAGGTCTCTTTCTAGAGCAAGTTTCTTTCTAGAAGGGGAGAGTCACAGAGTCACAGATTCACCAAAGCGGAAAGGGCTGCAGAGCTCATGGTAGCCTGGGTTAACCTACTCTGAAGCATGGCGTCTTCCTTTTAAACTGAATGACTATAGTACTCTCTGTGCCTCTGATGGTAATAAAACTGACAGATGTCTAATTTTTTTTTAAGTAGGACCAAAGGAAGAGAAGATTTAGATAGTCTGACTTTGCTTTTGAACAGCAGCAGGCATTGCAAGTCAAAATTTGTTGTCAAATTACATATGGTAAATGATGAACTTTAAAAATGTGTCCAGGTGTTAGATGAGTTCATTCGGCTATTTTAATGCTAATGGCTATGATGTTTTAACAACAGCAATTCTCTGCAGTGTATTTCCTTAGTAATTAGGGTTAGCCCTGATCTGAATATAAAAGTGAGAAAAGGGCTACAGTGCATTTCTTGGGAACTTACATTGAGTTTTGAAGTTATAATCCATTCGAGTTCTGTGATCCTTATTGTTCTTAATGAATTGTATTCCTCTATGTTTTCTTAACAGATGAGCCATAGGTTTCTTTGTATCAATGTAGATATTACTTCAAATACCTCTGAGGACCTACCCTAGTCTAGGACCCAATGCTGGGACTATGGTACTACATCCAGTAGATAAGCTGTGTAGTTAACACTCCAGGGAACACAGTAGGGTACTTAGGGAGGTGCTTTGTGGGACATGTTGAAGCTTTGAGAGCTGAGCAGGAGGAAGTGATGTCCCTGGACTATTCAGGGAAAGATTACACTGTGAAATGGTAAACATCCAGTTGACAGGATTTACATTTTGCTTAGTGTTTCTGCTTTTTAATATTTCTCTCCCCCACCTCAATATTTTCTTTATCCATTCTAGTGATGCCGTATTTAAAATTGGGCTTAAACTGCAAAAACAATGAAGTTGGATTTAGAAAGCTGTTAGATCATTGAGTGGTGTTGAGGGTGAAACTTCACTAGTGAAGCTTCCTTGAGCCTAAAATAATAATAATAATAAAAAAAGAAAGCTGTTAGGCTCCTAATTTGTGAGGGTTTTTTTTTTTTTTTTTTTTTTGCATAAACAGTTTAGATAATCCTGAATGCAATCATTAACTTGGGTGCTAATTATAAGAATGAAAATTATAATGGAAAAGGACAAAATAATATACCAGCTGGTTTGTTGTTATAGTCAATGTATTAAAATACTATTGAAATATGTTAAAGGTAAATGTTTAAGGTTTAAAAAAATTTAGTAACTTACAGGGATGGAGAATTTAGATGTGGAGGTGGGGAGATTTTTATACAGTAATTTTTATCCTGAGAAGAACTTAAAAAAAAGTTTTGCAACTGAAATTTTAAAGTAAACATGTTAAATATATTTAGAAAGTAAATAAGTATTATAGTAAATAGTAGATTCTCTGGTGTGTACTTTTTATCTTAGTGTTGTAAAATAGGAAAATAATGGACTGGGGTCTAGAAACTGGAATAATGAAGGACACTGAATGCCTTTACTGTAGATACCATGTTTGTAAGTCTATAGATAGGCAGCTTAAGCCAAAACGGTCTTTTAACTGAAGCTTTAATAAACTTATTTTGGAGACATTCTCTTCCCTTATCCCATGCACCATCCCTAAAATAATAAGACACATGGAATCAAATAGCCCTTGCCTTTTCAACACAAATTAGTTGGAAAATTGTGGTTTGAGTCCTGTTACTGCCATGACTTCTACTTCCTAGAAATGAGTATGTATGAACGAACCAATCTATGTAATAAGCTACCTTATTTTGTCTTCTTTGCAACTTCGTATACAAACCAAGACAGTATCAGGGTGACAGGTGAATGAACTTAAATTCTCAGTCTTGTCTATTCACCAAAAAAAGTATACTGCCTTTTGTTTTCTGTAATTATTCAAGGTTGAAGACTTTTAGGAACATGTTTTATACTGTATCTTTTAGTTAAAGCAAGTGCCTTGATGTAATTTCATGTAAATCATTGCTTAACCCTCTTGTGGGATGAGGATGAGTTATTAATGTATTGCAGCCTACTGGAAGGGAGGGGGAGTTGGCTAATAGCAGATACTTTTCTTCTAGAAGGTTATGTTTTATGCTGTTTATTATGTAAAATCCTCTATGTGTGTTGAGATTTAGAGGTTTCATTTCTTTTGTCTGCTAATAAATTGTTACTCTAATACTACATTACTCTGTGTTTAAATTATTTAAGTGCAAGGAGCATTCTGACTAAAGCACATTTAGGCCTCAGTGAGTTTTAAAATACCATCTGTTGACCAGGCATGGTAGCTCAAAACTGTAATCCCAGCACTATGGGAGGCCAAGGCGGGTAGATCACTTGAGGTCAGGAGTTGGAGACCAGCCTGGGCAACATGGTAAAACCATGTCTCTACTAAATATGCAAAAATTAGCTGGGTTTGGTGGTGCACACCAGCTACTCAAGAGGCTGGGGCATAAGAATTGCTTGAGCCTGGGAGGCAGAGGTTGCAGTGAGCTGAGATTGTGCCTCTGTACTCCAGGCTGCATGACAGAATAAGACTGTCTCAAAAAAGTATATAAATAAAATACAATATCATCTGTTTACATTTGGAGAGTAATTCAGTCGTTAGTGTTTCCCGGCAATAACAAAAGGATCTGTCCTCATAGAAGGACATAAAGAAATCCAGTTCTTTTTCCTTTATGATCTTGAATGAGTCACTTAACCCTTTGGTGAAGAGGGGAGGACTAGATTGCTTGAGGACCCTTTCTGTTTTGATTTTTGTTTTGAGACAGGGTCTTGCCCTGTTGCTCAGGTTAGAAGTGCAGTGGTGTGATCATGGCTTACGGCAGCCTTGACCTGGGCTTAAGCAATCCTCCTGCCTCAGCCTCCTGGGTAGCTGGGACTATAGCTGTGTGCCACCACATCCCCGATAATCAATTGTTTTGTATTTTTTGTAGAGATGGGGTTTTACCATATTGCCCAGGCTGGTCTTAAATTCCTGGGCTCAAGCATTCCTCCTGTCTTGGCCTTCCAAAATGCTGGGATTACAGGTGTGCATGACTCCTATTTCATACAGTGCTGGGATCAGAAAACCCAATTTTGGATCATGTTTTACTACTATCTTAACTCTGAATTTGGGCAAGTGACCTTTGAGCGACATTTTTTCCATTGGTAAATAGAGGCTAACACCTTATGAAGACTAAGTGAGAGAACTAGGAGTGGATTCCTGACTGGAGCACAACACTTTGTAAGGAATAGAGCACCACCCTCACCCTATACTTGCCATGAAACCTCTCCCAGAATGTCCTCCCCTTTATGCCTCTCTCAATTCATGAGGGTACAGGGTTAAGGACTGTTTTTAGTCTTCCTTTTGCAGTAACCCCGGTCATTCTCACAGCCTCATTCCCACCTCATAGAGTGCAGGGGTTGAATAATCTAAGGGTCCTTCCAGTCTTACCATAATGCACACTCCTGCCTGTGAGCAGCACCCAGGATCCAGAGCCCTGTGAGATACACGCAGCCATTCTCTAGCATCTCCTTCAGCCATCTTGGAGAGCCCTGCTTCCCCATCTGTCCTTTCAGTGCTTGTGTCCTTGACCTCTTCTCTCGTCACTTAGCACCACTGCTTAAGTTCTTTATTTTCAGATCCAGTTGAGGCTGATGAAAGTATGACACAGGGAAATAGCCACATGTGCAGGTATACACATAAAATTGTAAAAGGGTTGGCTCATGAAACCTCATATGTTGAACACCTTGCGTTTTAAGCCCCTTCTAGATAACTTCATCCACATGTATGGGCTCAATCACCTTGCTATCTGTGGCAGCTAATAAAATATATCTAGCCTAATCATTCTAGAACACCAAACAGTATATCTGTCTATATATGTCTCCAGGGCTGTTGTTAATAGACAACTCTGCCTGGATGCCCAGAGACATCTCACACGTAACATGACCCTCAATCTGGTCTTCCTTTCCCCTGGTAACGTACCTTGATTATGGCATGACCCAGCCACTTAAGCAGAAACCTGAAATTTCATGAATCTTCATTTACAACTCCCACACTAAATCCATCTTACTTTGTAAATGCCTCTCAAATCCAACATTTTTCCTACCCTTCTGTGTTAATTATTTCCCTTCAGGACTATACCACAACCTAACTAGTTTATCCGCTTTTCTACAATCCAGCCTCCGTACTAGTCATCAATTACTTCACTTAAAAAAATTGATCATTGCTACTTGTCAGGGCAAGTAGAAGGGGTCTCCAGTGTCTTTAGGATGAGTTCAAAAAAATGGTCTAACCCACAAGACTTTAGAAACTCTGCCCTTGCTTTGTTCTCCAGCCCTTGCTTGGCATACCAACCACTGACCTTAGGTGCTCCCAAATGGACCATTAAAAAAAATACTCCAGGCCTTTATATATGCTCTTCTGCCACGAGTTGCCTCTCAGCCCCGTCTCCCTAACTCCCTACTTTTCCTTCCAGACTTGTCAAATGTCCTCTTTCCTTGGCAACATTTCCTACTGAATTCCTCTTCTCTCATTCAGGGGCTCCTTTGGGCTTCACCTCTATACTCCTGTATATCTGTGCATCCTCTAAAACGACATTTACCACTCATAGAATAAAATATATTATTTGTATATTCTCTAAAATGACATTTATCACTCATTTCCCCAGACACCATTTATCGCCTCTACTAACCAAGCTTCTTGACATGGACATGTTTGTTGGGTAATTATTTCCCCAATACTGGCTCATTTCCAGAGCATGAGTGTCTATCCACGATCAGTTACATAGCCTATAGTTTTTTTGGTTTGGGGTTCTTTTGGTTTTTTTTTTTTTTCCTTTTATTTTTGTTTGTTATGAGACAGGGTCTTGCTCTTTTACCCAGGCTGGTGTGCAGTGATGCAATCATGACTAATTTCATTTTTGTAAAAAATAGGGTCTTGCTATGTTGCCCAGGCTGCTCTCAAATTCCTGGGCTCAAGCAATCTGTCTGCCTCAGCCACCCAAAGTGCTGGGATTACAGACGTGAGCCACCATGCCCAACTTGGCCTGTGGTTATTAATAGGTTGGAAAAAATCTCTAGTGAAGAGATAGCATGTAATAGAGGGGGTTAGGTGGTCCCAGACAATTACTTCTAGGTAAATTGTTTGAACAAGTCCAACATCCTATGTCTCTTCTTTCCTTGTTGCCTTCCTTCTCAATCTGTACCACACCAGAGAAATTACAAGTGGCAGCTCCAAAGGTTTCTTTAATGGATGGAACTGTCTCCCTATGTAGTCCACCTGTGCCCTCTGGTGGCCACAATATGATACCACATTCCACTTCAAAGAGAAATCTGGCTTTAGATGGCATGAACAGCATTTTAATCGGTCCGCAACTTTGGAATTAAATTATCTGAGTCTATTGTGGTTTTGTATTACAACTGACTAAAATATTAAATAGTAAGTAAACCATGCTTGAAATATAATAGACAAATCTTAGCTTACTTGCTTTTGAATCAGAGCCCTTATGAGTAATGGCACAAACTCCTTGCATCTATTGATTAGGCTGGTGACTCTCAAAAACACTGAACTCCAAGATGTGTTAGTGGAAGAAAGGGCTAATAAGGCAGGTCCCTGACTCTAGATGGTACTCATTACGTTCCAAATAGGGATAGAATGACAACAGAGTGCATTTATAGAACACTTAGTCTGTGCCAGGTACACCTTCTTATCCTCATGACAACACAATTGCGGGAGGTGCCTAGGCCTAGTATGCTGCCTACAGAGAGGATTAGTCAACTGGAGCAGAAGTGGGGTTGCCTCTCAAGTGAGATTGGAATGACCAAAGAGGCAGGGAGAAGCCACAGAAAGCCTGACAATGGATAATATCAACCTCTTTTAGCTTAACAAAGTACCAAAACCACTGATGTCCAATAGAGTCAAAGTTTTAGCCTGTGTAAACTAAACTGCAAAAGTTTTCTTTTTTTTTTTGGACGATTTCCATCTTCCAGGATCTAAATCATGATATATTAAATAAATCAAGAATGTTAAATTTGCTTTTATTTTATTTATTTATTTTGAGATGGAGTTTGACTCTGTCACCCAGGCTAGAGTGCAGTGGCAACCTCTCTCAGGTTCAAGTGATTCTCCTGCCTCAGCCTTCCAAGTAGCTAGTATTACAGGCATCCACCACCATACCTGGCTAATTTTTGTATTTTTGGTAGAGATAGTTTCAGCATGTTGGCCAGGCTGGTCTCAAACTCCTGACCTCAGGTGATCCACCCACCTCGGCCTCCCAAAGGTCTGGGATTACAGGTGTGAGCCACTGCACCTAGCCAGAAATGTTAAATTTGTTTTTTAAAGAAAGCAAGTGTAAGCACATATTTACTGAACATCTACCGTATGAAAAGCACTTAGACAAACTCTTTCATACTAAACCCCTGTGTGTATAAATGGAAGCCAAAAGAGATCCTGCAATGACTTTTTGGTGGAGGGACATGGGTTCAACTATATATTGTATATACTTTATATACTTATCAAATTATATTTTATATAATTCATTATCAAAGAAGAGAGATTATAATCTGGATTGGAATTATATTTGAGGCAACTATATTCATAGAAAAATTTTGCAAACCCTTTTAAATGTAGTAAAACCCTACCTTATCTCCAAGCCATTTCTAGTAGAATCAATGCTTAATATAGCTTTAAAAATAAGGTGACTTTGACACATCATATATGTCTATTAATTTATACACAAATGTGCCTGTGATGTGTCCAGCACGGTCCTAGGCACCATTAAGATTATAAAGGTTAACTGATTCCTGTGTTCATGGAGCTTACGTTCTAAAGAGCCATCTAGAACATCTAGAAAACATCTGTTTGAGTGCTAGAGACAGGAAGTTTGGAGGAGATGAGGGGAAAACAGGTGGAGTAGTTGCTGGAGTCTCCAATAAAGCCTGGAAGAAAGAGGATTCCAGTTAGTTCTTAAAGAATGTGTAGGGCCTAGGTTAGTAGAGAGCAGAGTGAGGCATTTGGGCAAGGCACACAGGCAGAAGTCAGTAGGCAGTGAAAGAAGACAATGGCCTCTTCATGGAGCATTATCTACATGGAATTGTACCAAGCTAACAAGTTGGAAATGCAGGTTGTAGTCAACTATAGTGGATACTAAAACTCAGCTAAATAATTTTTTGTAGGCATTTGAAAGCCACTACAGACACTTGGGCAGGGGAAATGGTGTGATGCCAATAGACCAAACAGTATGTGCAGAAAGGACTGCGGGGGAAAGGCGAGGGAAGGAATTAGATACTATGGCAGTAATCTTGACACAAGAGGATGATGAGAACAATGAAAAAGATGACAAACAGATATAACCACAGGACTTAGCCTGAAGAGTATTCCTCTCCCACATTAAGAATTTTAAATACGTACAGTACTTTTAATTCAGATGATCATATTAGTTTGTTAAAAGAAAAAAATATCCAAAATAAGCTATAAAAGAATCTATTTAAGGCCAGGCAGTGGTTCATGCCTGTAATCCCAGCACTTTGGGAGGCTGAGGCACGCAGATCAAGAGATCAGGAGTTCGAGACCAGCTTGGCCTAACGTGGTGAAACCCCATCTTTACTAAAAATACAAAATTAGCTGGGAATGGTGGCGTGTGCATGTAATCCCAGCTACTCAGGAGGCTGAGGCAGGAGAATCGCTTGAAACCGCAAGGCGGAGGTTGCAATGAGCCGAGATCATGCCACTGGACTTCAGCCTGGGCGAAAGAGCAAAACTCGGCCTCAAAAAAAAGAATCCAAATATCTGCTGTTTTCAACGATTGTTGTTTTGTTAATGTCCATGCAATACTTTCTATGATTAATCTGCTGTATCTGTTTTGACTAAGTTACTACACAAAGAAAAATCACTGAATTCCTATGGGTTTCTGAAATATCCAAAAATTTAACCTGAAGCAGAGGGGGGAAAATGACATCACATCATTAGCAGGTATTGTGTGAACCTTCTAAAAATTGAAACTGACATTTATCTGACTTATTACGAATACTATCTAATAAACTCTCAAGTGAAACTTCCTCTCACCCTTTCTGGAAAGTGAGAGGCATGCTGGGCTGCATGTTCTCCCCATGATTAATAGGATTAATAGGATTCTCTGTTATTATAACCTCCTTCCCAGATTGTATCCATGTCTTATTAAATTTTTCTTTTGGAGATGAGGTCTTGCTGTGTTGGCCAGGCTGGTCTCAAACTCCTTGCCTCAAGTGATCCTCCAAAGTGTTAAGATTACAGACATGAGCCACCATGCCCAGCCTATGTCTTTAATGCATTGTATTTCCTTGTACTCCAGCTCCCTATTAGTGAAATGCCAATTAAAACATTAAGACCAGCATGGCAGTGTGCATCAGTAGTCCTATCTATTTGGGAGGATGGCTTGAGGCCAGGAATTAGAGACAGTAGTGTGCTACAATCATGTCTGTGAATAGCCACTGCGTTTTAGCCTGGGCAATATAACAAGACCCCATCTCTTAAAAAAAAGAAAAAAAAAGGTCTTGTAGTGCTTCTTCTGTATCAGCAGAAAGGAGAAAGAGTTCTAGAGTAAGAACAGTTGATTCTTTTTTCTTTTCTAAACAATTAGTAATGGGGGAGTATTCAGATGGCCAGCTAAAGAGAGAAGTTCTAGAACTAAGCTAGACCAGCATGTTGCTTTATTTAAATTGGCTCAATATCTTATTTAAAGCTAGACCAGTGGTTTTCAAAGCATGCAGTCCGGACTGCATCCGCTGAGAATACATTAGAAATGCAAATCTTTGGGTCCCACTGAGGTCTACTGTATCAAACTCTAGGGGTGGGCCTAGCAGCATTGGGTGTTAACAAGCCTTCCAAGTGATTCTGATGTGAGCTAAATTTTGCAAGCCCCTGAGATAGACTTACTGGAAAGAAGCTGGACTCAGGCCCATAGTGTACTTGATTTTCTTGTGGTTGGTTCGGTTTCCAAGCTTGTCTGCACATTGGAATCACATGGAGAGCTAGAAAACTACCAATGCCTGTGACCCACCACCAGAGACTGTGATTTAATTGGCCTGGTATATGGCCTAAGCTTTGGAATTCTTAAAGGATTCTCAAGTGATCCTAACATGCAGACAAGTTTGGAAACCCTTGGATGAATCAAAATACATCTTGAATCAAGGACCAGAGACAGGAAAAATAAAAAAGAAAAAGGAAATAAAAGACAACACACATATTAGTCAAATTCCATTTCCAAATCCCATTCAAGGAAGTTTCCTGACCATTTCAGAGTACTGGAATATTGTCATAATAATATTGCTTTAAAGTGGTTCAACAGCCTATAAAGAAAACTTTATTCTTGTAAACCTTCTAAATTCCTGCATTATTTTGTTTGGAGGAAATCTGTAATTTTGTAATCAAAAAGGGTTTGTGTCACTCTTTTCATTACATATACATCTGTGCCATTTAATTGTCCAAAAATGGCATCAGGAACACCTACACAAGAGGAAAGGAACTAAGTTTCTGTACACTTGATATAGCTTCTATGATGGTGACTTTTGGTTGCTCTGGTAAAGATACCTCCCCTTCATCTTCGCTTCCTGCTTCACTGGTATTTTCACCAGCCACCATGCCCTGGATACTCTGGGTCCTGAGAGATAATGAGATCATCATCTGCAGTAACAAAGTCCTGGAAATTTACTTCATTTGGGACACAGGTGGCAATAGCCACTGTGTGCCACAACTTCTCAATGGCAATGTCTGGTTCACTGGCTGCTGATTCTGTATCATATTCTGCAAATTCCACAGGGATGATGCCTGCCTTCTGCCAACATTTCACCACTGTGGATGGCTTGACTGACCACGCTGCAGCAATCATGTCGATGGCCTGCTTGATGTCCACCTTTTCTTGACTCTCACTGCTGTGGAGCTTGAGGAGGATCTGTTTTAGAAGGTGGCTTCCGTACAGAACTTTCATGGTGTGAATTGTGCCAAGATTCAGTGGCTGCAGGACAGCAGTACAGTTTGAGGGCAGATATCCAACCTGAATCCTTTCCAAGCGTGGAAGCATGTTATGAGCAGAACAGTTGTCGATGAGCAAGAAGATCCGGCATTCCGCCCTCTTCATCCTGGCATCCACTTGCATCAGTCACTCATTAAACAGATCTCTTGTCATCCAAGCCCACTGGTTGGCTTGGTAATCACAAGGGAGGGAATGGATGTTCTTGAGGCAGTGTGGGCTGGCTGACCTACCAACAATCAATGGTCTCATTTTTTCAGTCCCTGAGGCATTGCAACAAAAGAGTGCTGTCAACCGCTGCTTTGCTTTCTTGACCCATCTACAATGGTCTCCGTTAGCAGCAAGCGTGTGCTGGAGCAGCAACTGGAAAAACACTCCTGTCTCATCAGCATTAAAGATATCATCTGGGTTGCAGTCAGCAATCAGTTTTATCATTTCCCCTGCATACCACTCGTTAACCTTATCTATTCCTAGACCATTCATTAACCTGTCACTATCTTCCCTATAGCTTGCTTTCAAAGCAATTCCATGGCAGTCTCTAAATCTGTTCAGCCAGTGTACACTTGCTTGAAAATTGTCATAGCCAAGCCTGTTGGCCAAGTTTAGTGCTTTTTTCTGAATGATAGAACCAGTCATAAGAATGTTTTTGGCATGGATTTCTTGAAACCAAGCAAAAACAGCCTTATCAATGTCATCATAAAGAGCGTTCCTCATCCTTTTCCGCTGGGGTCCCACGGATGCCTCCCACACCTTTTCTTCAAATTTGGTGCGATCCTTTAAAAATATAGACAGTAGAGGGAGTGATACCAAATTCTTTTGCCACGTCACCTTTCCTCTTTCCTGAGTCTACAGCTTCCACAACTTTCATTTTCTCCTCCAGAGAGAACTGCCGATGCTTCTTATTTCCCTTGTTTGCCATTTCCAGGGAATGAGGGCTGGCCACAACTAACAGGTCTGGTTCCTCCTTGAAGCTTGCTTTGCCACATGTGTGGAAAACTGAGAAGACAAAATGGAGTACTTATCGGGAAACAAAGATAATGGATTTCCCCTAAAAGATGGTTCAGGTTTTTACAAACTGTATTAGGAAATGACAATTTATGGTCAAAGTAAAGAGAAGATAGGATTCATGCTACTGACTTTTTGTAGAGGCTACTTATAAAGACTCATAGAATGTTTGAAACAGAAGGGATATTATCTAGTTTCCTTAAACTTTCTTAGCCTCCATAAATATGGGAATAACAATGTTTGCTCTGCCTACCATGAAAATAGATTGAAATAAGAGGCAGTGAAAAAAGCTTTGGAAATAGCATTGCACTGTATACTTCAGAGTTATTATTCAGCTTCTTTGATGAACACAGAAACTAAGGCCCTGGGAAGGGACCTACTCAGATTCATGCAGCTTAGATTTCTTAACTCAGATTACTCCTTATTATACAAAGGGTAGTCAGGGGTGTCCTCACTAAGATGGCATTGAAGCTGAGATCTCCAAGAGTATAGGGAAAGGGCTGTCCAGCAAAAGACATAGCATTAGCAAAACCTCAAAAGCAAGAATAGCTTGAGGTATTCAGGGAACTGAAATATTTGCGTGACTCCAAGTATATGACAAAGGTGGGGGGCCAGACCATTCAAAGATGCCATGGTGAAGAGTTGGTATTTTGAGTGGAATAGACATCCACTGATGTTTTCAGGTATTTTAAAAGAATCACTTTGGCTGTTTTGTGAAAAGTGGATCAAAGAGGCAAAGAGACCGATTAGGATATTAGGATGCTGTTGCTGATAATCTGGGTGACAGATTATGGCAGAAGTGATGGACAGGTTATGGTACAGTCCCTCTTGCAATGGCATGATCTCGGCTCACTGCAACCTGCACCTCCTGGGTTCAAGCGATTCTCCTGCCTCAGCCTCCCAAGTTGAGAGTAGCTGGGATTATAGGCATGTGCCACCACACCCTGCTAATTTTGTATTTTTAGTAAAGACAAGGTTTCTCCATGTTGGTCACGCTGGTCTTGACCTCCTGACCTCAGGTGCTCCGCGCACCTTGGCCTCTCAAAGTGCTGGGATTACAGGCATGAGCCACTGCGCCCAGTCCATTTTCTTATATTAAAATGAAGAGGCTGGACTCAAGCAGGAAGGCTTTTAACGATCTGATATCCAGGCCTGACCTAGGAACTAATGAATCAGAATCTATGAGGAAATACATATTTTTGAAAAGCTCTCAGAGTGATTCTGATCTGTCCCATGGTTGCAAGCCACAAGACCAGATGATGCCTAAGGGTCCTTCCAGATTTAAGTCTTGGATCCTAGATATTCTCCAAACTCAAATGCCATTCAGGACCAGGATGGTGGCATAAGTGATTGAAACAGGGATTAAAGTATTTGGAGAATGTGGTAGTGTATCCTGTCTAGAAGTATTCAGAATTTAAATTAAACAGCCCCCTTGCCCCAGGCTGGTCCAACAAAACATGACCCAGCAGTAGCAGTTCTGGGTAATTGCCTTCGTAGGCATTTTATCATGAGAATCCTCAAAGGACAAGAGAATCTGCTGGGACTTTACGCTATGACTGTCCCTTCTCAAGGGTAAATTTTTACTATCATCTCCATACATGTATCCATCAATTCATGGCATGTTCTATGTGTTAAGTAGTATGCTTGATGCCAGTCATACAGAGATGAATGTAGCATTGTGCCCAGCTTTGAGGAGCCTTCCAGGGAAGCAGGGAAGACACTACAGTATGTGCAAACTATCATATAGGTAACAGAGTACTATTGGAACATGAAAGTACAGATAATCAACTAGAGTGGGACATGGATAGGCAGTGCACTTCAAAGAGGGAACAATATGGTGGGCCTTAAAGAATAAACGAGTAGGAACTCATGAGATGAAATATTTAATATGAAAGGCAATGAAATACTATAGAAAATAGAATGTCCTGTTCAGGAACAAGAAAGTCTTTGGAGAAGCAAGCAAGGACCAAATCCCAGGAAGTCCTAATTAGGATTCTAGCTTGCTTTTGGAGCATTAAGAGGCTTTTGATAGTTTTTTAGTTTTGTTTTTTTGGAATGACATAATCAGATTTACAATTTAGAAACAGTCATTTGGCTGCAGGGCAGAGAACCTAATGGGTAAATTTGATTTTCCTAAGAGATGGCCCTAAATCTAAAGATAAAAGCAGGGTAGCCCAGCAGGCCATATACAGTTTGGATGTTAATTTGAGTGCAATAGGAAGCTACTGAAGGATTTTAAGCAAGGAGAGATGACTGCTGTGTAAAGAATAGAAGGGTATCAGAGAAAAGAGCAGGAGTCCACACGAGATAATGGTGGCTTGGATTACAGTAGCAGTAATAGAGATGGTGAGAAGTAGTCAGTTTGGGGCTATGTTTTTGCAAGCCTTGTGATGGACTGGATGTGAGGTGAAGGAGGAGTCAAGGATAACACCCAGGTTTCTGGTTTGAGCACTGAGCAATCCAGTGGATGGTGCTACCATTTACTGAGGTGGGAGGATCTGCTGCGTAAACCTAATTTGTCAAGCACTTTACATGCTTAATATTGCTTACTTGTGGCAGGGCTGGGATTCAAACCCTGGGAGGCTCACAACAAAGCTAGCACTCCAAACACTACAGAGTGCTATGTAGCTGGTTGTGGGAACTACTAATATTGAAAGGAGACATAAAGAATGAAGCAAGAGCCAAATCAAAGTCTTGGTCAAGCTAAGACGTCTGAATTTTATTTTAAGTGAATGAGACATTGGAGGGTTTTAAGTAGGGAGTGACTTGGTCAGACTTACAGTGCAAAACGATCAATGACTGCTTCGTGGAGAACAGATAGTAGAGGGGATGTGGGGAGAACTACATCAGTCCAGGCTGGAGATGATGGTAGCTAGGTTAGTAATGGCGGCAGATGGAGAGAAGTAGGCAGATTGGAAACACATTTGCAATACAGTGAGAGTTGTGCGGGAACTTGTAAAAATGTGGACAACCTGTGACACTGGAGAGAAAGGACAATCCAATCCTATTTGATTTCTCTCCACACGGTCATTCAGCGCAGGTTGAGTCATTCTAGGAACTCACTACCATCACACTATCCGTGGGCCGGTGAGACAGACGGATTGAGAGCAGATCACTTGAGTGATGAAGGCACTATTTGATGCGGCACTAAGTATGCAACCGATCCTGAATGAGAGGGAAGGACTGAGGCAGGCTGAGATCAGGCCTTGAACGCCTTGCGGAGTGGGTGGTAATGTAGGTTTCCCAGCGCCCGACGAGGCCCTAAGAAGTGGCTGGGCCTAGATCCCTCAACCTCGGCGCAGCCCCGCCCCTGTTACCTGAACACCCCACAGCAGTGCCCCGGCGCTGTGCCCCACCGCCTACGGCCCAGCTTCCTCCTCCGCCCGGGACCTCTGGCCGGAAGCAGTCCGTTCCCCTTAACAGACCCCCTCCAAACCTGTAAGCAGTGCGTAAGGGTCCGACCCCAGCTAGGGCTGGGCTGTTGCGCATGCGCGAGGGGTCGCACGCAGTCACGGGCACAGGCCGCTTCCGGTGCGCCGCGAGGGCCGCCGGGACGGATCTCCCTGGCGATCCGTGGTGTGGTGCTGCTGCTGCTGCCGTTGCAGCCGCTAAACCGGTGCTGCGGTGACATCCGTGTCCCTGCTGTCTTCCTCGAGCTCCCCGGGGCTTGACCCCCGGGGCCCTCGGCAGGCATCGGTGAGGAGCCTGCGGAGCGAACCGGTGCTCCTACACTTGCCCTTCACGACCCCATATCGCGACTCCGAGGAGGGGAAGCGAGAGGAGCTGTCGGGACTCCGCGCCGTGTGTCGCCGGGCGGGGCCGCGGGGCCGGGGCTCCTCCAGCCCCCGGGATGCGCGCGCGAGCCCTCGCCTCCACTTCCTTGTTGCTGCTGTCACGACTGGAGCCGCCTCTCGCCGACAGCGGGGAGCGCGAGTGCGCCATCCATCCCCCTCGTCGAGACCCTGGGCCGAGCGCCTCCGGGAATGTGAGCGGCGCGGCTTGCACGCTCCTCCGGGTAAGTCCTACCTTCAAGGGCCGTGCTGGGCCGCTGGGCGACCTCGAGTTAGGTGCTGCGGCTCTCTGAGCCTCTATTGACTCTTCCACCAAGTAGGACCGGTGAACCTTAGTGTCCTCCCGCAATCTGAATGGGACATTCGGACGTCCCAGACGTCTTAGCTTGAGCAAGACTTTGGTTTGGCTCTTGCTTCATTCATGACCCAGAATGAGGGAGGGGAGCTGGCCCACAGTCAAACTGGCCCACGGCTGAGTCCTCAAAGGCCATCGCGTGAGATTCCGAGGAGGATCTGATGGGACAGTGAAAGTGTCTCGCATATTTCAAGTACTGACCTTAACTTTATTTTACAGATGATTACGGAGAGTTAGGGTAAGTAGATTGCTTAAGGTCATAGGGCTCCGTGCTGGTGCGATTAAACTGTGTAGCCTATACTAGCACCCAGATCTTTTGTCCTCCAGAGCCCTTGGTTTTTAACCTTTATATTTATTGTCCTGCCTTTTTTTTTTTTTTCTTTGCATTGCTATACCGAGGCCTCGAGTCTGAAAACAAACTTGGACCCAGGCTTAGAACAGGGTAGTAAAACAAGCAAAACCCTAGGGTAGCCTCTTCCTGCGCTCAGCCCAAGGTGGTTGTAATGATTGTTTCCTAACTCGTTTTGCTCTGAGTGCTTAGTACCCTAGATGCCATTCTTTACAGATGCTCTCCTGCAGTTACTGCTTTTCTCCACAAGGCTTTCAACCGCCCCGAAGTCAATTAAGGGCAAAAAAGCGCAGTTCTCAGGTAGCCTTGATTTGAAATCCTGCTTTCGTTATCCTTTACTGGCCTATTGCTTACCCAGCCAAGTTGTAGACTATGTTTTCTTCCTAGGTTGCACTAAGGCAGTTAGAATGTAGGTTTTGTTTTTCTTTGTTAGTTTAGTTTTTAATGGGAAGAGGAATCATTTAGAGATGACAGAGAACTAGGAAGAAGCTTAGGAATCATGTGTGCTTAACCTGGGGCATATCTTTAAAATTATAGGTGAAATACAGTGTGTCTGCACTTTCTAGGAGAGGTTTTTTTTTTTTTTTTTAACTTTTCACAACATTGTCAAAAGAATTCTTGCCTCCAAAAAGATTAGGAGCCACTAGGTTCATCCTCTTCTCACAGCAGAAACAGTTGAAATTTAGGATGTGGAATAGGCTTGAGATCATATGGTTAGAGTTTAGGTCTCTTGACTCCACATGCAGTGCTCACTATACCTTATGATTTGTGGAGTGAGGTCTACATGAGATGTGAGGGTGCTTTGTACTACACACAGCAGTCCCATATTTACTACCAAAACTGCCTCTTCCCAGAGTTCTAAATTTCCTCCTGACAGATTTTCAGGGACAACTGTGTTATTTCCCTCTTGTAAAATTCAAGTGGTTTCTGGGAGCCTTTCTCCCTCCAAGGATTGGGACTTGTAGTAAAACTCCAATTTAGAACTTGGCTACAAGTAAACTAACTGTTCTTGAACTAGTTTTTAAGTTGTTTTTATGCCTCTTTTCCTAGACATAAAAGTTGTTAGTCGATTCCCTGTTTTTTAGGTCAGCACAATAGAGCTAATGTTGGTTGGTCAGATGATTGTTTAGAGCTTTGCTGTCTCTAGTTCCTGGCATATGTTGCTATTTAAATTAATTACAATTGGCCAGGTGTGGTGGTGGCTCACTCCTGTAATTGCAGCACTTTGGGAGGTCAAGGCAGGCACTTTGAGCCTAGCAGTTTGAGACCAGCTTGGGTAATATAGTGAGACCTCATCTCTACAAAAAAATTAAAAAATCAGCCAGATGTGTGTAATTTAAAAATTAGTGCATGTGTGTAGTCCCAGCTACTTGGGAGGCCAAGGTGGGAAGATCACTTGAGCCTGGGAGGTGGAGACTGCAGTGAGCCAAGATCACACCATTGCACTTCAGCCAGGGGAGAGTGAGACTTTGTCTTAAAAGTAAATACATTTAAAATTAAAACTAATTCTTCAGTCACACTAGCCATATTTCAAGTGCTCGATAGCCATATGTGGCTGGTGGCTACCATATTTGACAGCACAGATGTAGAACATTTCCATCATCAGAGTTTATTGAACAGTGCTGGTTTGGAGGGTTGCCAGTAGAGATGGGTAGCAGCATAGCATAATGAAAGAAGGCCCAGGGAGTTGGATTTTTGAATTGAAAATCTATCACGTCCATGTTTGGGATTGGTGGTTTTGGGCAGGTTGTTAAGCATCTCAGGCACAGATGATATTCTTTAACAGAGCCAGATGTGGTGGCTTACACTTGTAATTGCAACACTTTGGGAGGCTGAGGCAGGAGGGAGGATCACTTGAGCCCAGTAGTTCAAAACCAGCCTGGACAACATAGTGAGATCTCATCTCTGTTATTTTTTTTAAATTATATAAAATTAAAAAAAAAAAAACTCTAATAGAAAATGAACTCTTTCATTTTTTTTCCTGCCAATTATCTGACTTTCGGAATGAACCCAGCTGGGTGCAGTGGTTCACGCCTGTAATCCCAGCACTTTGGGAGGCCAAGGTGGGCACATCACTTGAGTCCAGGATTTTGAGACCGGCCTGGCCAACATGCCAAAACCCCATCTCTCCAAACAAATACAAAAAAATTAGCCGGGCCTGGTGACACGCACCTATAGTCCCAGCTACTCAGGAGGCTGAGGTGGAGGGATTGCTTGAGCCCAGGAGGTTGAGGCTGTAGTGAGCTGAGAGTGTGCCACTGTACTCCAGTGACAGAGTGAGATCCTGTCTCAAAACAAACAAACCTACCAGCCTTTTCATTTTATAGCAATTGACTATTTTCTTTTTCATTTTATTAAAGATTTTTTTTTTTTTTTAAATAGAGATGGAGTCTCGCTATGTTGACCAGGCTGGCCTCAAACAATCCTCCCATCTCAGCCTCACAAAATGCTGGGATTACCGGCATAAGCCACTGCACCCAGCCAACTATTTTTAAATAGAGTTGTGTCTATTGTATCCTTTGAGTCCTATCACTATAAATCTGTGGGACGGTAGGTGAGACATCTCTTTTTTTTATACATGAGAGGGAGAGAGCTGAACAAAAAACAGCTAAAACACCTGTCCAAAATTGCACAAGCTGGCAGAGCGTAAAGAAATCATATGGGCCCTAACTACATGTTTGAGTGTATCAATATAAAGACATTTGCTTAAGCTGATGAAACATAGGAGGAATGGGCCAGAACTTCTAGTTCCTAGCCAAGCATTCTTTTTACCTGTTTCCATATAGAATTGTTATAATTTGAGGCTAATAAGTCTTTGCGTTAAAGGGTGGGTGGGTACTGTATCCCATGAATATAAGTGAATATAAGTGAAAAGCCTTTCTAACCCAGTGGTCACACATTTGCCCTATCTAAGGAATCACCTGAGGCATTTGTTAAGCATGTGGATTTCCATACCCTCTGGAGATTATGATTCAGAAGGGCTGTAGTGGAGCTCTGGAATCTATGTTTAACAACCAACCCAGGTGCTTCTTGGGATATACTGAGTTTGGAAAATGTTTAAGCCTAAGGCACTGGCAGAGGTACGGGATTATTTGATTAGGAAGCTGCTGCCCCTCTTAGGGTAGATTCTGGAAACTTTATTTTTAACTTTCCTTTCCTCTAGCCATGGACGCATCATATGATGGTACTGAGGTAACTGTCGTGATGGAGGAAATTGAGGAAGCCTATTGTTACACCTCTCCTGGGCCACCCAAGAAGAAGAAAAAGTATAAAATACATGGAGAAAAGGCCAAGAAACCCAGGTTAGCTCACACATTTTGGTTGCTGCTGGTATTTATAAACAAAGTTGCTTGGAGAGCTGCATTGAGGAAAACTGTAAGACTCTTTGAAAGAGTGTTATTATTGAAGTCTTGCAGTGAGCAATGGTAGTGGGAAGTGATGGGATTTCTGCCAGCATTGCCATTACTGGCTGGACTTTGCTTTTGTTTCCAGGATGTCACAGGAAATTGTACCATACAGATGGTAGAAGCTAGGTACAAAAGAGCTACATTATTTATTATGCTATTGTTGTTATTTAAACATTTAAAACAAGGCATTAATTACAAAATTAGAAATAAGGACAGGCGCAATGGCTCATGCCTGTAATCCCAGCACTTTAGGAGGCCAAGACGGTTGGATCACCTGAGGTCAGGACTTCGAGACCAGCCTGGCCAACATGGTAAAATCCTGTTGCTACTGAAAATACAAAAATTAGCCGGGTGTGGTAGTGAGCACCTGTAATCCTGGCTACTGGGGAGGCTGAGGGAGGAGAATTGCTTGAACTCCAGAGGTGGAGATTGTAGTGAACTGAGATCATGCCACTGCACTCCAGCCTGGGCGACAGAGCAAGACTCTGTCTCAGAACACCACACACACACACACACACACACACACACACACACACACACACAGAAATAATACTAATTATACAGAATATCCAAATTGTAGCTGTAAT